AGGGAGCATGAACTGCATCTGCTGAGCAAACATGGCTGCGGCCGTCTTCTGCTGGATCAGGTTGTTGCGTCCATTTATTTCAAGTTGTGTTTTTAAATGTGGGGGAGGGTGGAGATATTTGCAGTTCTCTCGGGTACACCGGCCCTAAAAAACATAATGGAACAGCATTTCAGTGAATGTAACACCCAGGGCAGCCAGAGAAATTTAATTAAGGATTGTTTGGGTTACTGGAACAACACAATCATCGAGGCGGAGGCGGCTTGGTAGCTACTGTGCCTCTTTTGTGATTTTTCTATAGTAGGTGAAGAGAAGAGCAACATGACTTCTCCTGCAGTAACACTAACTGAGTACTATCAAGCTAAAGCAAAAAGCCAGGCTTCCTGATGTTAAAATGATTGTTGTAAGAAAAAATCCCAAACAATCTAACACAAACACCAAGACTTTCAGAAACTAGTGGCAACAGTTCCAGAAACAACAACAAAAATTCCCTGGTTCCTTGTGTGGGTTGCTTTTCCCCTCCTTCCCAACACCAGACCACTTAATTGGCCCTGACAACCAGACAGAAGAAACAAAACTGTCTCTACCACTTCCCCAGCTGCACTGGATAAAACTTTAAGAGGACAACTCTGTAAGGCAGCACCTCTGATCCACAACTGGCAGATACCCCAAAATGCTGAATGATTTTCCCCCTTCACACTTTCATTTGTCAAAAGTGATGTGGGTTGCATCACTGACTCCTTCCCTCCTGCAATAAACATGTGGCTCCTAAAAGTCAAGAGATCACTGATGTTATGCCTGCAAATCAACTGAGAGCATCACTTCAAAAACATGTATAAACTGTCTAATAGTGTTTGCAGGTAGACATAAGAAGATAAATATCACTAAATAAGAAAGTTAGTAACAAATGTTGTCATTAAGACAAAACAGTTCTTGAAAAATAAGGTTTTCTCTCTCCCCTCCTTTCTTTTTGAATTTCTTCCTCAAGAAACAAGAGGCATACAGAAAACATGAAATACTTAATCTAACTTTATGCAAAAATTGTGACTTTTTTGAGGAACAAATTCTTTTGAGCTATTCAAAGCCTATTAAAATAAGGCCAGACCTGGAGGACACAGAGCTGTTCCATGACAGATAATTAATAACAGCTCCCATAGCCAGCAAAGGCACAGGACCATCCATTACCCAGCCTATCCCAGGCACAGTCATCAAGGGCTGGACACAAAGTTCTCAGTCTCAGTGTAATTAAATTTGCTTCCCAAAAGGGGCACATCAGATGACCCCATGTACCTGCCCCTGTCAGCAGGATCACGTGCAGCAGAGCTGTAACCCCATAACCAGGTCCACAAGGATATCACTGTTACACACCACTCATCCAAGGCTCAGGTGGGAACCTCCTGGGATCAGCCCCTGATGCATCCAGGATTCTCCCCTGGGGGTTCTTTACGGCTTTTGCAAACATTCAGGTGAAATCACCAGACACTCCAAGTACCACTGCAAAAAGCCAACACCACAATCCACTGCAGGGGCTGAGTTTGAATCCCCAGCCAGGCTCCCCAGCATGCCAGGTTGCTGTAGAGAAGCCTGAGATTTCCAAGCTTTACTCAGCCTCCCTTCCTAGTGGGATAACAGCTTCACTGGAGAGAGGGCTGCAGAGTTTGACTGCAGCTTAAAAGGGGCTGTTTGACATGTGCCATGGGAACGGGCTCCTCTCTTATCTGCTCCAGAGAGATCAGAGTTAAACAAAAGGCAAATAATTAAATGCAAGAAGTGACGGGCTAAAGCCAGTGGGACAGGAAAAAGAACTACTTCCAAACTTTAGCAGCCTGGCTTCCTGGAATGAAACTCTGCCCTGCTCCTAAAAGAGCCCAGTGGCTCCCACAACCCAGCTCAAAAGGAAAGAGGCTTTTTAATGCTATTGTTTTGGCTTCTCAGCAATCCAACTGCCCCAGATCCCCAACAGTGAGTTAATTGCTCACAGGCCCTGAGGACATGAAGCTTCATCACCAGACACTTTCTCACATCTGTGTGAAGCAGGGTAAAATGGCTCCACTGCAGCTGGCTGGTGCTCAGACACCCAGTGCCACTACAAAGGAAATAACTGCACTAATCTGCGAGGAAAACACCGGGCAGGTTTGGGTCATCCTTCTCATGCTGCACAGGACCAGCCCTCTCTACAGCCTTTGCCATCACCTGGGACCCAGCAGGAGCCAAGGCTTCAGCCTCAGAGCATTTCTGAGTGTCCCACCTGCACAGCTCCTGCAGGGCTACTGCTGGCCAGGAGCAGAACCACGGAACCACAGGCTGCCCATGGCCGGGCAGCAGCTCCAGCCTCAGAAACTCCTCCTGACTGTAACTTGGCACAAGTGCTTTGGGTTGGGGAAACACTGACTTCTACCAAATTTGGAATAAATCTGTGTAGATGTTTCTACACTGCAGGAATGGAGAAGATGAAAAAAAAGAACTACTATTTTGTGTAAACAATACCTACACAGTTGACGTCAACTTGAGAAGGACTCTGCTATTTCAACTGAAATTATGAATATCATTGATACCAGCAACCCCAGCTTGGTGTGAAGCTTTGTTCTATTTTTTTCCCTCAAAGCAGTTTGCTTAATTCCAACAGGGGGTTCTACAAACAGAATATTTTTACAACCAATAAAAAAACCACCATACAGCACGAGGCGTTGGTCTTGCAGACAGTCTGTAAGCTGAAACCAGTGCCCACACAGTGCTACTGGTTTCAAGGCCATGCATTTGTAAAAAACAGAGCTGTGCAGGTGCTGCTGCAGAGCAAAGGCTGTGAAATGCTGTCAGTCAGGCCTTTGAGGGCTCAGACTAAATAAATCACTGCTACACTCAGATTCAAACCCATGCCTTTGGTCTAACTCCTCCTCACCAACATTTTGATCCTGAGCACCACCAACCACTCTGTTTCACTGGAAGCCACACTGAGTTGAGCTCCCCTCTACAGCACCACAGTAAGTTCTTCATCTCTCAGACAATGAATTTTAGGAAGTGGCGGTGTGACAGAGTGACACAAAATGTTCCCAGTTTAGACATCTTGCTATGTAACAACTTCCAAGATGCCTGCTCTGTAGTGATGGGCACCACCAATACCCCCTGAACTCCAACACTGGTAGGGGTGAGCCCTTCTTCTACCCTTCCATCACAACCAGTGCTTGGTACTTCCCAGAAACACACACAGTCTTCAAGACCAATTTCAGCTCTACAAAAGCTGCCAGAAGAACAGAGGAGATGCCATTTTTAACTCCTCAGTACCAGCTGCAACACAGCAGGGAAAGCAACAGGGAACTGGTAGCAAATCTGCTGTGTGGATACTGGGCTGGGGATAAATAAGGACAACTCCATTTTATACCTGAGTGGCCTAGGAATACAACATGAGAAAATACAACAAGGAGTTAGGCCTCCAATTTTAGAGCATATTTATGCTACAAGGCATAGCTTTCCTGCAGGGACTAGCTGTAGCTCTAGCAGATCAAAAGCTCAGCACAGGGCACAGGACAGTTCCAGAGCTGTGCACAGAAGACCAAGTGAGGAATTCTCCAAGCTGAGTGTTGCACCAAAAAGCACCATTACAGCACCTGGAGTGGCCACTGCACATGTTGGCAGGGGGCTGGTGCTCAAAAACTGATCTGTGCTGGCAAGCAGCACACTGAGCCTGCTGGCACCAGTGCACCATCCTCCTGTAACTGGAAATTTGAAATTTGCTGCTGTCAATTTAGGCTCAGTACTGAGTCCAGGACAGGCACATTCCCACCCTGTCCTGGGTGGCACCCAGGGCTGCAGCCAGGGAATCACCACCCAGTAACAGACTGCTGCTGGCCTTGGCAACACGCTAAATATAGCTCTGTTTTCTGGCTCCTCACAAAATGGAAGGAGTCTGAAGGACCACGTTCATCTGCTTCTTTGCCAACTACAACCAGGAGGGAAAAGCATATGGACTGCACTTTTCCAAGGCTTGAAAAATGGATATTAAAAATAAATCATTAAAGGATTTTATAAGAGTATCTTCTCCCCATTTCTTCCCACACACTCCCCCACCCTTACAGTAGGCTGCTGGCATGTGATTGACTCTGTGTTGCCAACTTAAGTCATGCTGTGATGGCGTATACTGTAAATGGCTGGCATCTGACACCAGCTAACGTGACAGCAGCTTGCACTGCAACAAAGCCAGCTGTTTGGAGTGCAGCACTGAAGGCAGCACACTGAAACCCAGTAAAAAACCACCATTATACCTGGTTGTGTGGGGTTTGCACCTTGTCATCTGCATCCTAGCTCAGCGGGATGCAAATAAGCGCATTCTGGGTACTGCACCAGGCTGGATGAACCTTCCCTAAGCATGTTGCACAAATTCTCTCCTCCCTGGCTGCTGAAGTGAGTGGAACTGTGCTGCAGAAACAAGGCTCCCAGCACAAGCCCCAAGGCTTGCTCACATGTGCACCAGTAATGCAGTTTGTTACGGTCTCTTTAATCCCGGACACCAGTGAGGGGTTCCAGACACACAGTTCTGGTTTTAATGACTGCACACTACATCCCATCAATCATGAACAGTTCTCATGTGAAAATCTTCAAGCTAATGCGGCTTTTCACACACTGGAGGCTGCAGTAGGTTGGTGCCCTGACTGTGCAGTCTTTTCCACAGATACTGATGACATGTGCAATGACTGACAGCAAAAAGAATGAAAAGAGACCAGGCAGGAAAGGATTTCCATGTTTTGCACAAAACCAGGCACCAAAACACAGCTTGTCTACATAACTTCTCTCCACATGAAGCAGCAGATTTCCACCTCCCCAAGAGGAACTCAGTGGGGAGGCACATTGAGAGATGTGCTGGCCCTGCTTACTCAGTGCCTGTCGCTCCAGTGCTGAGGCATGAAACGCTCCCTGCTTTCCATCCCACTCACCACATGCACACAAAGGCTCTCCTGGCCATGGATCCTTGCTCCTGCCACAGCCTTGCATGGCTTTCTCATACACAATACAACCTCAACACCAGGGGGTCTGCTCCACATTTGCAGGGCAGGCTGCAAATTCATGCCATGGAGCATGAATTGTCCTGCAACAGTGGGAGGCAAAAAGTGGGGAGCTCAGGGTTGCACCCCCATGTCCAAGCAGCACAACTA